GCTGACCAATGCCCAGCCAGCCCCCGAGCAGCGGCCCCCCTGGCCAGCTTTCCCCAGTTTATGTACTGAGCATGACGTCCCATGGTATGGAATGTCCCTTTGGCCAGTTGGGGTCAGCTGTCCTGGCTGTGCCCCCTCCCAGCTTCTTGTGCACCTCCAGCCTGCTCAGTCGGTAGAGTATGGGGAGCTGAAATGTCCTTGACTAGTGTAAGCACTGCTCAGCAACAACTAAAACATCGTTGTGTTATCAACATTGTTCTCGTCCTAAATCCAAAACACAGCACTGTACCAGCTACTAGGAAGAAAATTAACTCTATCCCAGACAAAACCAGGACAGATTTTAAAACCCTTAGACGTTAACAAGGTGTTACTTACTTAAGATATTCCTCGTAGAGGTATCTGGTAAGCCTTACTCGGAAGCAAAGTTTCAATTCATTTAGACCATACTTCAGGAAGTTATTCACTAAAGAGATCTAAAACAAGAGATGGTATTTCAATATTCAGCTAACAAGATTTAATATACTTAGATCAGCCTGCAGCATAGATTGTGCAAACACTTTAGAACAGGTGAATTCTCCCCTTGAAGTCAATAATACTATTAAACACACCTAAGACCAACCATATAGCGTCTGCAAGACCGCTAATTAGGTTTCTGTCTACATTTTTGAAAACCCCAGTTCCCAGTGGATCTCACCACATCAAAAGGTTTAATATAAAACTATGTTCATATAGCATATCTTCAGCTCTTCTCATAAGCTCTAGAAAAGAGCCACCATTTGACAATCAGTACCTGAAATTGATCAATTCGCTTTTAAATCTGTTGTAAACCAGGTACGTTTTCTATTCGGTAGTAACAATTACTTCTATCTGGTGCAGGTCAGAGATGGAAAAACATGTAACAAATCTCAGAAGAAGCTGTAAGAAGTATAAAAATTAAAGACTAGGAAGAAATCATCTTCAATGGTGCCAAGAGTCCCACACCTATAATGTTGAAACGTCATCCAATCCGTAAGATGTTACTACGCAGTCCTACAGATGGCACGTTAAGCTATCAGTCAAAATTGCCATCAACAAAACCAACCTGAAAGCCTAAATGTATCTGTCATAAAAATGGTTGCAATCAATAGGGAAACATGCTGGTAACGTCTCCCACACAGTGGAGCCAGAAAATGAAGTGTGTCTTAATACAGACCTGCATGTAAAACAACTAATTTCCATGGGTTTTAAGATGCTCATTTGAGATCTTTTCCTCAAATTCTTAATTTACATTTAAAATATGTTCTACTAAAAGGCTGGCACAAGAAAAGCACTTACAGCAGGCATTGCGGCGATGAAGTTAAACAAGTATTTCTTGAAATCTTTTCTGCTGCGGCCAATGATAGCGCTGTAAAGGACCATCAGCTAAGCGTTAGTTACAAGAGAAACAAGAAAGTATAAACTAGCATGTCTTAAGTGGACCAATTCTCAGTGGACCACACAGAGGGAAAAAAAAAATCATCGTGGAAACCTGTAGTATCAGCTGTAGGATCAAGCATGACAGACTTCTGTAAGTTAAGTGGTAAGTGACAGACTAAGTAATTATTTCCCTTCTGCTCCTGCAGTAACTGCCTGCATTAAGGGCTCAGAAATTCACGGTCACAGAATACCAGTTCCTTTCATTCTTTGCTTTCATAGATTCTCACAAGAGAGAAGCAAAGCAGTCCTTCCATTCTACAAAGCACTGAAAGTCTCTCCTGAAATACAGTATCATTGTGAATTACACTTCAAGACAAATTCTGACTTGCTTCAATTAGCAACAAGCGCAACAAGAATAATCAGAGGTCTAGAAAACACTTTCTAAAACTTTATGACCGAAAGCATTGTGTTTATCAATCTAAAGAGCAAACAGCTCAGTAGGAAGAACAGTCCTAATATCCAAACAACATGTCTGAGTCTATGCCACAGAACCACTATGCCACTATTCTGAAGTGCCCTCTTAGACGTTCAGATCACCATAAGATTTAGTCTTCAGTGTACAAAATGTGACCAAAAGAACTGAAAAGCATTTAATAAGTAAATTTTGGTTAAAAAAATAAAATTGTGTCCACAGCAGAAAAACAGTTGATTAAAAATTATTTTTTTCTTTCAAAAAATACAGGGATCCCCCCTCCACAAAAAATTGCAACTATACCAGTTTTCGAACTGTTTCATATAAATAAGCAAGCTATAAAGCATCTGAATACGTGTTCTGACAGATTACTTTCCCTGTTAAACACAAGAAAGAATGTTTAAAAACAACAAGTTCATAGCTACCTTTCAATGACTGTTCCATTTTGAATCATCCAAATATCACAGTATGTGCGGACTACCAGCATCACAGCAATAAGCAGCAAATAACCTGTCTAGTACAAAAATAAAAGTGTAAAAGTTAAACAATGGATAAAATTCACCACTTTTTTCTAGTTAAGTGGTCCAACCGTATCTAGCAGAAAAGTATTACCCTGCTGCCCCCAGCTAACGCAGTATTTGCTTACTTTGCAGGAAACGCATTAGCATACAATATTTTTAATAGAATTCTGATTACATTTTTATGAAGAAAGTTTGTCTTTTAAAAAGGTGTATTTGGTTGATACATATACTGGACACATCTTATAAGATGGAGTATTGCAGGGATAAAGAAGTTACTGCTATTCTGAGACACTTTTGTGCCATAAGCATGGGTCATATAGGTTGCAAGGGACCTCTGAAGGTCACGTACTTCAACTCCTCACTCAAAACAGGGCCACTAGTAACCAGTCACCACACAGATCTTGTACCATTGATCAAAAAACTTTAAGCCCAACAGACCAGCCAGTTTTCCATCCACCTCATTGTCCAGTCACGCAGCCAATTCAGTTTGGCTATGAGGGTACTAGGGGAGACCTTAGTCTCAAGGCCTTGCTAAAATCGAAGTATTCAACATCCTCCGTTCTTCCCTTATCCACACAGCCAGTCATCTCATCACTGAAAGCAATCAGGTTAGTAAGGCATGATCTGCTATTCATAAACCCAGGCTGGCTGTTTGCAATCACCTTTTTATCCTTCATGTGGCCGGAGTTAGCTTCCAGGAGGATTTGCTCACAGCCTTACTAGGAATACGGTGAGGGTGACCAGCCTGTAGCTTCCAGTATACTCGTTTTTGAAGATGGGAGTGATGCTTGGATTTTTTGGGGATCATCAGTAACCTCTTCTGATGGCCATGACCTTTTGAAGTTGATGGATGCCAGCTCTGTCAGCTCTTTCACAGGCATTCCCATCCATGATACTACCTTCTGTGTACCTCCCTTTTGTGAATGAGCTGTCAAATGTCCCTGTTTATCCAGGCTAGCTGGCTGCCATGCTTGCTTTACATTCTGTACACTGGAATTCATTGCTCTTGTGCCTGATGTATGTTGGAAGTTCTAATATATTACAGTCCAACACTTAAGTTCTGACCTCAACTAACACTCCTTTAAAAAAAAAAAAAAAAACTTAAATGTTCTGGAAAGCATGAGAAAGATGCTGAGGCAATTTTATCTTGCTGCATAGCTTTCCTGAAATGATGCTAACAAGTTTTTTTGACAAATTCACCGTCTAATAAGGGTTGGCCTAGATATAAGTTACAAAAGCAAAATTATGGATGAACAGCATGCTATTTAAAAATAGGAAGCATCTGCACAGAGAAGTGTACTACCTTGCATCAAATCAAACAAAGCCTGGGTGCCCTTTTAAAAGATATGCTACAGACAGTAGTTACTACCTGACAGTAAATGGCTTATCTTGTAATTGAAACCAGAATGCAACTTTTTAATGATCTAACAACTGAACATACATGTAGATTTTTATATTAATATGTTGCTATTTTAAAACATGTAGTACAATTTAGTCCTATTCAAGTAAGGTATATGTTTTTGTTTAAATTCCAATGTAATTACGAAAGAAAACTTGACTCCAAAATGTTCATTTTTATTTGTTACTGTAAGCAATGCTTACCTCTTTACAAAGTGTTCTAGGGACCATTATTTTCAGGATTCGACATATTCTTGCAATAAACACTCTGTCCACCATTGCTCGCTCCTTCTTCCCCTCTTTCTGCTTCACATAGAACAAGCAAAACGAGAAAAGTGAGATTTTTCGGCAACGTATTATTTAAATGTTGATGTGATATTTTCCCTATCCAAGTTATTTACAGCTACCTTCCTTTTGCAGCATTTGCAATATTTCCCTCCAATTTAAGACTTGCTCACACAAGTTAAATGAAATGTACGAATCGGGAGCATATGCCCTCACAACTAACAGAAATCCTAAGTAAGAGAACTAAGCTATCAAAACAAATTGCAATAGGAAGTAGCTGCCATGATAGAAAATAATATTTATTTCAAACCTATATTAAAAGTGATAAACAAACAATGCAGACCATAGCATTAAAACATCCAATTACAAGTTATAATGCAGTCTGCCATCTCTTAACATTGCTTGTCTCTAGAAGACACCATCAGCCAGTATTTTTAAAGATGCCTTCCATCATTTGTCTAGACCATCAAAGGTTTAAACTCCTTGACTGTACAGCCCAAACTTGCTCCAAGTGAAACCAGAATTTGTTATTCGTTTACTTCTAAAAAACGGTGCGACACACTCCTAGCAAGCTAAATCTACCAGACTTAAAATCCCTCCTATACCCAAACACCTTTGATTTGGGTCAGTTGCATTTGTTTACTCCATATAACCAGGCAGGAAACCTGAAAGAAAAAACTAGGGAGACAGGATAGGGAAGACAAAGAAAGTAGCCTATGATTCACCATTAATCAACTCAGACAACCCTATCAAGCACTACTTTTTTATTTCTGAGGACGATTAAACCACAGAAACTTGCACCAAGAGCCCAACTTAATCTCTTCACTTACTGTTTACATATGCAACATGATGGACAACAAGCACAAGCTCTGAGCCCCAGCAAACACAAATTTACTCTGAATGCGCTGTGAATAAGCCTACACCTGTTTTTCATGGGATGAAGTCAACTGTAGTCCTGTCCTTTTCAAAAAACTGTGTGAACACAAGCTACGGATAAAAATTCTAGCCAGATAGGATGCTATATGGTAGATGATAAAAATGTTTCAATTAAAAATTATTTACACAAAAATTCAAGCAATCTCAACAACTAAAGACTACTGTCCAGGCCTAATGAAGCATGACCCTACACGTTATTGCTTTTCTGCAATAGAAATGACAAACACAATGTTTGACGTGCGAAATTTCTAGGAGTACCTGACTAAACATATTTGATGTCTGAGCTGAACCTGTTCTTCCCTTCTATTCATCTCTTCCCCATTTCTACTTTTGTGTTGCACTTACATTAATCCCAGTATCTTCTTTCCCAGAGGTTTTTTTTCCTTAGACTGTTAATTCCTCATTCAATATAATTATATGCAAGATGGGTAGGAATAAGAGAAGGCTAGTTAAGACTTTTACAAATAGGTATAGCTATGCAAAATACAAGTGTTTATGGCAGATAGTGCAGTCAAGGTCTGGCTAGAAGTTAACACGATGCTTGCATACACCTTTGTATTTATCCAGCCTTTTCTTAAGTTTTCAGCAAAGATGGAAGTACGTGGAATAGTCATCTATTTGTACCATCATATGACCCAATATTTCTAATCATGGGCTCTGCCCTTTGGGCTAACTGTTGTATTTTATTTGAATATGAAACAAAAAACTTGACTTAAAGGGCTATAATATATACTTTCCAAATAAATGAATTAACAGACACACAGAAGACCAGGGAAATGCCAAACCTCCAACCAGAAGTCTGAAGTACCTTTTAGAAACGGTCAGACTCTACATCTTGTTCCATACTTTTTTCTTTTAAATAAAAAGCAAATACACGTCATACCAAATCTAAAGGCATCTGTTTGTTGCTATGCCTACAGCCAGACTTACAACACTAGTCCTTAAACATTCATAAGGCACAGAGAGATGAAAAAGCACACGTACACATCAAGCACATATCATTATGCAGCCAAACTTCAGCCATATGTGATTAACCTGATTCTTCCATTTGTTTCACCAGCGCAAGTCTGAAAGTATCATTCAAGCCACATGTGCACCAGGTGCACATAGCCACCGTTCTGTCCAAAATAAAACTATAATTACGGGACTTAAAGTTAAAAAAACCTATCAGTATTATTTCAAATTATTAAAAATATATTACATGAAGAAAGAATTACCTCATTGCTCTGCAACGCTTGTTTTCCACTTCTTTTACTGTAGAGGAAAAAATAAAGTATTTTTCTTGTTATTAACACACATATCTTTGTCTTGATCTCTACACAAAAAAGACAACAAGGAAAGCTTGGGATTATATCCCTATCGATTTATTTCAAAGCAGTACAGTGTCTTCACAAGAGGGCTACCTTTTATGTCAAACTTACGTGTTGCTTTTATGCTATTTCAATGAAACCTTACTCCTTCCAGCATTCAGTTTCATGTAGAGAAACTAAGTCTCCCTTTTTCATCTCCGAGTTTTGCTTTACCTTGGCTTCTGTACCATAAACTCCTAGTGTTTTTATGTTTCCAACATACACTTCGCAAGCATGGCTACATGGTTCCACTGACCACAAATGAAAACTACATGAACGCAGATTCAGCAATCCAAGCAACCCAACTTTGATGTTTCGCACTATCTACGTAAGCCAAACAGATTTGTTTTGCATTATATTTGACTTTCAAATAACACATTTTACTATATACAAAGATTATTTCTTCATAAACATGCACTGCAGGGGAAAAAAAGTCAGATCCTGTGAAACCAAGTTCCTGCAAAGGTGTGCATTAGAAGGGGAGCTAGTTTTTATTCTGTCCTTTTTCTTTCCCCTGCATTTTACAGAACAGTTAGGGGAACAACATTTATCAACTAGTGCTAAACAAACATTCAAAAGTACAATCCTATTCTTCTTCCTCTCCTTTTAAGAAAGGCAAGCTGACATATAAGAGAGTTATAGTTTGTTTGTCTTCCTTTCTGAACATTCAAGCATCAGAGAAGCACATGAAGCTGTTGGGAGAGCTTATGCGTTTATGTAGTTTAAAAGTGACAGATAACCATGTTAAATTGTAACCTACCATTTCTCAACCATCATACTAAAACATTGAGAGCAGGCTGCCTCAGAACTACAATATTCGTACACTTTCAAGACAGCACCTAGGAAATTACAGGGAAGCAGAAACTATGAAAGGCACTGCTCCTTCTGCCTACAACATCAAAACTGCCACACAACCAGTTATCCCACAACTTTATCAACAGCATCATTTCAGACTTGTGCTTTAAAGCTCTGCAAAGAAAATATCTAGGATGAAACCATGCCTATTTTAATCTGTGATTATTAGAAAGATCTATGAATGTCACTGACCAATGAAGAGAAATGACTTAATTATTATGAGAGGAAAAGGCAAGGTAGCAGAAGAATGAGAAAAGAAGGGAAGGAGGAGACCATGCAAATGAGAAGGGAGAGATGCCAGTTTAACAAGAACTTAATTAAAGGTAATGGTGAGACAGAAGCCTGAGAGGAGAAGATAAAAATCTTGTAAGACTACTTGTGCAAAAGACAGAACAAAGAACATGAAGGGCAGCAGAGGGCAGACTGGGGGAGAAATAACTTCACAGAAGTTCAGAAGAGATGTAACACTTAATCAGGCCATGATGGAAGTACGTCTGTGGAAATGGTAACAGCGTGCAAAGTCTAAGAAACAATCTAGTTAGAGACTACGTCCTGGTGACTAGGCGCAATGCATTGCTGGTAGAAGAAACTTCTTAATACATCTTGTAATTTTTCAAAGTACAAAAGATTCACCTGTTTTTTAAAAAGTGTCCTTGTGTATGGATCAGTCCAATCACATCTGGTTTGGGATTAGGGGAAAAGTAGTATTCTTAGGGGTAAGTTGTGATCAAACTATGTGGGTATTTCCTTAGATGATTCATGATTTGCAGTAATGCAAAATGAAAGTATGCTGCTCTTCCAGATATGCTATAATAACGCCTAGCTTTGTTGTTTCAAGGCCTGCCAATGTTTGAATTCACAACACTCATAATATGCAACTATTTCAGCTTTAAAAGGATCAGAAGTGAATACATTAAAATAGTAATATATTAAGAAGATGAGGCCCAGAATTATTCTGGCAGTTGAATACCTTTGATGTATTTATTCATACATTTTTTCCTACAGTAGCTGTTGGGAGAAATTCAGTAGCTTAAACTGATTATCCATTAAAGAGAAAGGACTGTTCAGAAACAGTGATCTTAAATTTAACTGTGAACTCACATTTAAGTAGAATTTCTGTTTATAAAGTTTAAGATAAAAATTAAGCATTTGTAAATTCAAAACCTAATGAAGAGAGCTTTAACAGTGTTTTGTTCTCTTTTTCTAAAAACAATTAATGCAAGCTCAAAACAAGACTAATACTTCAATAAGAAAGGAAATAATGAAGTACGGATTATCTAGAAGCAGAAAAATAAACCTGGCTACATAGCTCCAAAAATGTTGCTCTTGCTATTAAAAAAAAAAAAAATCCATTGTTATTTAACAAGTAAAACCATTTTACTTGCAAGAAAAGGCTGTGCTATAGTTCTGCCTAGAATAAAACTTCCACAGGCCGATTACTGCAGAACTTTAAACTTCCACAGGCCCATTACTGCAGAACTTTTCCTTCTCAAGAGTCTCATTTTTTCAGTCCAATACCTACTGGCACTACTCCGGACTCCATCATACCATTGTAGAGGTTTTTTTGAGAATTGTGGTTGCATTCTGATTGAGTTTAAAGACTAAATAACACCCTCAATTAGTCAGCAAGAATACAACAAGACTATCTGGTTACAGCAGAGAGCTTTACCATTTGGAATAGATTCAAGCTCTCTATTATTCCAGACCTCTCATTTACTTAATGCTGGAGCATCCCAAGCCTTACTGGTGAAGGAAGGTAAGAGCTACATGCCGTCCAAATTCTCTACTGCAAACGACTCCTCTGGTATAGGGGCCATCGTTGAGCAGCACAGTGTAAGGATGGTGTGGAATAGAAACATAAGGCTGCCTTTTACTGCAATGTTAACTTTAGTGATTACCTTATCCACACGTATCGCCCTCCAGTTGGAGTTAAACTGTGCTTTTTATTATCGTAGGAGTGCCTTGAAGCTCAAGTACTACTGATTCTTGACGTGGTGATGTGGTGGGGTAACAGCTATGATACAGCTCGGGTCAGTACAATTCATCACATGCTTATTCAATCAATATTACTACAATTCAGGCAGCTACTATCACATTGCAGAAGAGCTCTACTTTTGATCTTTAGTGTAGTTACTCTCACTTCATCACAAGGTACTCACAATGAAACCCTTCCCTGAGCGTATGTATCAAGGCTGAAGCTGGACTGGCTGGGACAATGAAAGACCCCAAAGTAAAAACAACTTCCAGACTGTTTGAATGGGAGTAGCACTGGATTCAGCAGTGATGTGAAATGTGTCCCACAGGGAACACATTCCTGTTCCTCTCTACCTCGAAGTCAGAACGGTGCAGTGACCGTTCACCATGCATTTCTCCCCTTTTCCTTCTATATCAGAAAGTCCTGAGATTTTTCTCCTGCCCTTCCCTGGATTTGGATTGCTTTTTAACTTCCAGCCATGAGCAACCCTGAGGCATTAGATTTTATCAAAAAGAATTCAATAGTTACATTACAGATACTAAGAGAATACAGAACCTTGCTTTAGGCGACCAAAAAAAAAAGGTACGGTGAGAAAAGACAACTACAAGAACAAATATTCAAAAGATGACTTCATGGCAAGAAAAAAAAAGTCTGGCATACACCATAAAACAATCTCATCCAGGAAAGTAAATTATTATTATCATTCATTGAACTTATGAATGCCTAACTTTGCAGCTTAAAAATAATAATGTGATTTTAAACTGAACCATGACAATTTATGCATGGACAGAATATTTTGAAAGCATGAGTCAAGCACAAATTAATACAGTAACATTTAGTCAAAATTGAACCGCTCTGATTTTTCTCTGAAATAATAAAACCTGTAGAAATAAAAAAAGCTAGCTTTCTTCCAAACTCTTACTGTACCCATAGAATACAGAGTTGTGTAGCAGAATTACTTAACTTACTATAACATCTCCACTGTCTGCTTGCTTTTCAGTTTTTCCACATGGAAGATGCTTGACCGAAACTAAGTTTACTGCTAGGGAGTTATGAAAAAAGACCTGCCAATACAGTAACGAAATAACAGACTTCATTAAGTAGCAAGTAGGTAATGGGCAGACTTTTGAGCTTCCTTCATGCCCTCACAGACAAGGAGGGGTGGTGATGGTGAGGTTTTTGAGAAGGGTTACCCAGACAATATGTAGGAAAAAAATGTAAGAAAAATTATGGTACTAAAATATTTCTAGCACTGAGCCAAATCTATTGATTTGGATAGGAATAGTTTTGGTTAAGGATAGGAACATAGAATATTCCAAGACGAAACAGCACTTAAAAAGTGTTTCTGCATAGTTTCTTTACTTTTTTCTATGGAAGCATTAAAAAAATCTTAATTATATACATCTGTCCTGGTTTCGGCTGGGATAGAGTTAATTTTCTTCTTAGGAGCTGGTACAGTGCTGTGTTTTGGATTTAGGGTGAGAACAATGTTGATAACACAACGATGTTTTAGTTGTTGCTAAGCGGTGCTTACACTAGCCAAGGACATTTCAGCTCCCCATGCTCTACCGGCTGAGCAGGCTGGAGGTGCACAAGAAGCTGGGAAGGGGCACAGCCAGGACAGCTGAC